AAAGCAGCTGCTTCCGCCACATGCAAATAATGCTGGTGCTGTGCTTGCAAGATGCTGTTTTGCTGCGGACTTACCACCAATTTAGCATACTTGAGGTAAAAACAACACGACAAGGCTACTTGACCTTTTGGAACCCACAAATGCTATTTCACTGCATTTCCATAACTGATTATGTGCATATAAAGTAACTTTACTTTCAATTGTACCTTTAATCACTACTGTATTACATCGTGACAGCGGCGAATAACAGCAGGTAGAAAAGTACAGAAAACATGCTGGACAGCTGGCATCATAGTAGAATCGTCTGTTTCAGAATGATTTAAAATGCACAAGACAGAAGAATGTGGACAGACTATCAATTATGTTTTAAAGAAAGAGAAGAGGAAGAATAAAAAGAATAGAAAGAGGCGGAGGATGAAATAGAAGAAGAGGTAAAGACAGAATAAAAAAGAAGAAGAAAGAAGAAGAAGAAGAAGAAGAAGAAGAAGAAGAAGAAGAAGAAGAAGAAGAAGAAGAAGAAGAAGAAGAAGAAGAAGAAGAAGAAGAAAGAAGAAAAGAAGAAGAACGAAGAAAAGAAGAGGAAGAAGAAGAAGAAGAAAAAGAAGAAAAAAAAAAGATTTTATGTGACGTGAATTCGTACACGCGAGTAAAAAAAAAAAAGAAGCAAACAATTATTCAAACAGTTGTTTGATCTATACAACTGGCAGCATTCACACATTTACCACACTGTTACATTCACTGTGTGTTTGTTACTTGGAAAGCTACAGATGAATTATGTTGCTGTCAGTGTCTGGAAAATACTCATTAAGATTATTTTAGAAAGACTAAAATATACAACTGTTAAACAGCTAAGGGATTAACAAACAGGGTTTCTCCTGTAACACATCCTGTACTGACCAAAAAGCCAGACCACAAAATAATAGAGCAAAATCATCATCATAATCAGGTGCCTTGCCGACTGGCGTGGGCGATCATGTCTCTCCATAATCTGCGATCTCCTGCAGCATGTATTAGTTCGTGTGCTGACACACCTCCATGCTATGCAACAAGACTGCCAAGAATCTTCTCTCGTTGTATCTCTCCTTCCACAGATCTTTGCAGTGGTCACAACATGTTCCATTTTCCCTCTTCTCATAATACATGGCCGAAAAATGATGCCTGTCTTCTTCTGCTGTCTGTGATTAGTTGTCTTCGTGCTCCAGGCTTTTTCAAGCACATTACTGAATTTATTTCACCACTTTACATCGGATTTGACCACTATGAAAAAGCCTTTGACAGCAGCGATAGAGGATTTATTGGAATGGATGAGAAACTACAGGCTCTCACAGAGATTTATTAATTTAGTCACGGGAACATGTTACCACTCCCCCCCCCCCCCCCCCCACCCCCCCCCCTCAAAAAAAAAAAAAAATACAAAAACCACAAACGAGATGTAGAGTTATCATGAGGGGAACATCTTAAATATATGTGTGCGGCAAGGATGCCTTTTGTTTTTGAACAAGAGAAACAGAAAAAGATGATTGCACTATTTATTGTCTGGCATATTTCGCTGTATCTCAAGTGCATGCTACAGTAAAGCCGAATAGTTTCTGGAGGCCTCAGAGATGGGGATTTACAGAAGAATCCTTAGAATCCCTTGCACACACACACACACACACACACACACACACACACAAACACACACACACACAAACACACACACACACACACAAAAGAACAACCCAGATGGTTTGAATAAGGCGATGGCTCGAAGACAATATTTTACGAACATCAGAAGGAGACAATATTTTACGAACATCAGAAGGAGACAATATTTTACGAACATCAGAAGGAGACAATATTTTACGAACATCAGAAGGAGACAATAATAATTGTTTGCTCACGTTATGAGAAGAGGGATATTGGAACATGTGGTGACAACTGAACAGATTTGTGGACAGAGAGACAGAGGAAAACAAGGCGAGAGGATTCTTGACAGTCTTTTGTCACGGCGTGGAGGAATGTCAACACACAAACTGATATACACAGTTGCAGGTCGCAAATTGTAGAGAGGCATGCTCGTCCATCCCAGTCGGCAAGACACTTTGTGATGATAAAGTCTTTCCTCTAGACCATGTTAGTGCAGTCAACAATACTCAACTCACCAGCGAGGCTACGAAACCTTTCCAAACCTTGTCCAGACATGATGCATTTCCCTTATTAAAACCTAGCTGGGAACAATTTTTTCAGAAGTTAATGGTCAGTTGGTTATCGACCATTCTGGTCAGAAGCCCAACATAACGATATCACTGGACAACAAAATCCTCGCCTTGACATGAAAACTACGAGTCTTCACTAATTGTCTGGTGCTGGAAAACGAAAATGACTCTGATATTTATTGATAGGTTTTTGTTCCGGAGATTCAGAGACGGTCCTGTAAAAACTACCCAGCATGCGCATAGTACACATTTCAGCTTGCAGAGTACAAAATATTGTGTGAATTGCAAAACCCAAACATACCCACTCATTGAAGGAAGTAATGTTAACCTAAAACGATGCAATCATTAGTTATAACCAGACTCTGGGAGTGAGAATAAGTAATTTAATCTCTGCAGCTTAAGTCCAGTTGCAAGGATGCCTCGAAAATGTATTAACAGTGTAGAGTAGGTTAGTTGCGTATCCTTTACAGGACGTTGCAGAACCAACCCCATCAGCCCCTGGCTGTTGTGTGGTTTCACTAGGCAAATTTACGTCCAGTAGTTTGCCATTGCTTACTGGACGGTCGGCTCCCTGATACCACTGTCGAAACCAAGGCAAGGCGTATGGCCCACAGCTGGGATCGAACCCGGTACTCCGGCATTACGAAGCGTTCGCATCGACTTAGCCCCAGAGCCGACAATACCAGTGTAGATAAAACATTTGTTACATTTGCTTGGAAACGGCATGAGCAAAGCAGAACAGGTCACCAGAACAATAGTGGAAAAGGCGCATGACAACTATTTCGAATGCAAAGTCGGGAACCAGGACAAGCAGTAGGCCCCACACACATGTTTCAGTATCTGTGTTAAAAATAAGCTTCTAAAGTGAATGAAAGGAAAATATGTGTCGAGGCTATTTGCAGTTTTTATGGTTCGGAGAGAAACCAACGATCGGCTTGATAACAGCTGTTTCTGCATGGTTCCGCTTTGTGCCAGGGGGGATCGCAAGAAAAAATAAAGGGGCTACAGTGTACCCGAATATATAATCTGCTTTCCGACCACCACAGTCCCCGTACGTCTGAAAGAATTTCCATTGAAGAGTTTGCATCTAAAGGAGAAGAGCCGATAGCAGTCTTCATCATTTTGTGATGAGCTACTCATCGACCATGGTGCTACGCATTTCGTATCCAAGAAGAACGATACTATTCACAATCTGTAGTTGTCCAAGGCCAAAGCGTAGTTACGTAGATAAGAATAAAAAAAAAAAAAAGAAGAAGGAAATCCCACCCAGAAAAATGTCAGAGTATTTTATTTTTTTTTAACTCTCCATGGTCATTTTACCTATGTCTTCCGAAAGGAAAATAATCCCTGATTCTATGTGATGAGAAGGAAAAATATGGAGTACATGGTGACAGCAGAAAGGTTGGAGGGGAGGAGAGATAGGGGGAGACCGAGGGAGAACAGATGCTGGAAAGTTTGACAACACGGCATGGAGGATCATCTGTGTCAAAAGCTGAGTGAAAATACACGAGACAGAATGTTGTGGATAGACATGAGAACCAACGCCACACGGCATGGACTTTAACAAGAATATATATATATATATATATAAAGTGTTCTTTCAGAATTCTCATGAACAGCAGCCAATTTCGCTTTTTCTTTGTCACATTCATGCTCAGCACCTTGAAGTCTGCAGCGACTTTCATCAAATGTATTTGCCCAGTGTATTAGCCTTATCAGAAAGAGGGTGCTAAAATGTTACATAGAACCTGTTCTGCTGTATGGCAGCGAATCTTGGAATACCACTGAACAAATTAAGAAGAATTTGGAAGCAACAGAGATGTGGTTTCTGAGACGAAGGTTACGAATACCCTGGAAGGCCAGAGTAACTAACAACGACTGTTTGACAGAAGCTAATGAAAGTAGATCTCTATACACAACAATAATAAAGAGACAAACACTGTTCTTTGGCCACATAATGAGAAGAGAGCCATTGAAGAACATCGTGACAACTGGAAAGATCAGTGGAAAGCAGGGTAATGCCAGACTAAGAGAGATGATGCTGTATGGGCTAAAACGATTGAATGGAGGGATATCCTCAAGAGAGCTGTTCCAGGCAACCAGGGATCGTGATCTGTCGAGACGCATGAGCGCCTACGCCAGTTGGCAGGGCACATGATGACGATGATCAGCATCATATTGTCTTATTTGCTTTGTCTCAGCCATAACAAAGGAAATGGACAGTTGAACATATATTATTATTTGTTTCAGCAAATAATTGTGTGTACTGAAATACATGCATTTTTCAAAATCCATTGACTGAGAAGGTTTAGAGGCTTGAATTGATAATTTATTGTTTGCGTGAAAAAAAAAAAAAAAACCAAATAAAGGACAAAGTTATTTTTTTCTCTCCACAATTAGGATAAAATCATTTGCTACAAAGAGTGGAACACAGTGTCCATTGTTCCAATATTGACATGATCATATAAACTAATCTAATTATGTAAGATGATTACTGTGAATAAACTGAAAAATCGTTAATATATTTTGTTCCATCGAAAGCCTGGTTAAATAAAAATAAGAACATGATGAAACAGAACAAACACGTGTTAATTTTTATACAATCAGTATTCTTTGGTTTTCAGACGTGTTGCTACTATATCATCTACATCACTTTGGTTTGTTTGACAAAGGCCACCACTGTAACATTTTTTATTATATTGAAATGATTTCTCTCTCAGTTGTCACCTTAGCAGACACTAGCTGTGTCATCGGAATGCCATGTTTCTTTACCCCCGTTTAATTTGCTACAGCTCTCATTACCTAATAATGGCTTTCTGTTAAATGCTTTAATTCCTGGATTGTGTTTGCTTGAATGCGTGCTTTAAGATTCCCAATAGCGTGCAGACGGTCAACATCATTTAGTCTCTGGGGTAACGAAACACCGAGCCCATTACTTGCTACAAGTTCACCGTCGCTAGATATCTGCTCTCCCACATTACCAGACACTTTGTTGCTACCGGTTTCTATGCCGAGGTTGCCATTTAAAAATTCAAGGTTTTGTTCGTCTTTATGATTATTTGCCGAATCTAAAAGCCGTTTCCCAACAAATTTCGGAGCCGCTTTTTTGCCGACAAAGAACGGAGAAGCACGTCTTTCTATGAATTTTACGGGTCTTTGTTCTTCTTCTAATTCAAGCATGCTTGGGTTCGACGAATGAGAATTTATTACTCGTTTCCCAACAAACTTAGGTGGTCCTCTTTTCCCAACAAAATAAGGAGCACGCCGTTTTCCTACGAATCTCGGAGCAGCTCTCTTAAGTTCTGAAACTGTTTGTGTTTCTTCCTCTACTCTGTCTTCTGTAAGGCCATCTTTTTCGAGCTGTGCTGGTCCACGTTTGCCAACAAAATATGGCGAAGCCCGTCTGCCTACAAACTTTGGAGCCCGTCTTTTATTCTTTGTAGATGCGTGCTCTTGTAGGTTAGGCTCAGCCCAACGTTTCCCAACAAATTTTGGCGCTCTACGCTTGCCAACGAAGTAAGGAGACCCTCTTCTGCCTAAAAGGTTTGCTACTTCTCCTTGCCCATATTCAAAGAAAGAGTCGCTGCCTGGCTCTAAACCAGTAACACGTTTTCCTATAAACATAGGAGGTCCACGTTTGCCCACAAAGTACGGAGCTCCTCGTCTGCCCACGAATTTGGGAGCAGCCTTTTTCTCCAACAACCATTCAAGTTCACGATCTGAAGGAAGGTCACTCCAGCTGCCCGGTAGATTGTACGGATATTCTCTCTTGCCAACAAAGAAAGGAGCCCTTCGTTTACCTACAAACATAGGAGCACCCCTTTTATCTTCCCATGATGCTAAATCATCATTTTGCAGTGACAATGTGGGGTTGCGCTTTCCAATGAACTTAGGAGCCCTTCGTTTTCCAACAAAATACGGTGCCCCGCGCCTTCCAATAAACCTAGGAGCTGCTCTTTTGTCTTCTGAAAGTGGACTTTCGTTCTCGTCCAATGCTAGGTCCTCCAAATAATCGTCAGGAATGTCAAAAGTTTCCCTCTTTCCAACAAAATAAGGAGAATCTCGTCTCCCTACAAATTTAGGTGCTGCTCTCTTGTCTGTTGAGAATGGAACAATTAATCCACTCAAGAGATCTCTGGTACGCTTTCCTACAACGTAAGGATCTGACCTTCTAAATGTCTCCTTAAACTCCTGAGCCGATAGATACGGAGACGGACTGTATGGATCGTTTGATCTAAAAACCTGAAACCTCCTGTTCAGCAAAATTGGGTAGTTTTCCTCCTCTGTTTCGTAATCCGGCAGTTCTTCTGTTGCCAGCTGATCAGCAACGTCTCGTTTGTCAAGATGGTGCTCCTCGTGTTGCTGATTTGAACTGTTGCTAAGTCTATGGGGCATCAATCCTGAAAAATAATTGTTTTTAAATAAGTGCTGGCTATTTTCAGGCGGAAGTAATATCCAGCTGGATTTTATCGGAATACGAAGCAAGTCGGCAATATAGCTTTTCAAATTGTATAAATTGGCGTCTTCCTGAAAACTGTGACCTTTATTAACACGAGAGCTTTCACTGTTAGCTGAAGCCTCACTGTTGTGATTATCAGACAAGGTACTCGAGTCGTACCAGGTGTTAATGGGTATGTTTGTTTCTATTAACTGATTATGCGAATCATTGTTTAACGTGGTACTACTAGCAATGTGCTCATCTGTGGGTTGCAGGCGCGAGCTTAACTGTTGCTGCAGCTGCTGATGGCTTTGCTGCCGCTGCTGCTGGGAGATCTGTGCAGGGGACGCGTCAAAAGTGGAGCTTGCCGCATGAGCGCTTTGCTTCTCTGCAAAAAGGAGTAAAAGAGTTATTACTTTAGTATGTCCATGTCGGAGTCATTAAAGTTTAGGTGTGAGATTTAGGCTACAATATACGAACACATTATATTTAAAATAGGTACAGATACTACTTATGTATTCATTCATAAATTATATAAATTATCTTCTATGTACATTCAAATGATGCATACTGATACAGAAAAAAAACATGCATATGTAGACTGATACAGAAAAAAATATATACGTGCATATAAGAGATGAATAAAGTTACAAGTTATATGTACATACACATGTATACGTATATAAATTATATGTGTATATGAAAGGGGTAGCCATATAGTAATTTAGACATTATCAAATTCTCACCGATATAAGTTAATACCTGTTAAAAGAGGTGTATTAGGAAAGAGACCGAATAAGAAGTGATACCATCAGGAAGATTGTGGGAACAGCACCTCACACCAGTTTCAGGGATAAGCAGAAGATTAATTGTTTGTCCTCTTGTTAGAGTACAAAAACAATTACAAACAGATGCAACACCCAGAGGAAGAGACCCCCAAGGAGAATATAGTTTAAGACATCATCCATACAGGATGACAGTACCCGGGATACTCAAGAAGCGCTCCACCGCAAACTGAACCTCCCCATTGAACATAACAGCAGAATTGGAAGCTGCTGTTGATAAAGGTGATGTTAATAAAATAAGGATGAAGATACTGATGATGATGGTGTCAGATGTAGGCTATAAGTGCAGGATAGAAAAGAAAATGAAACCAGTTTCTCTAGGCATGGACAAAAACTACACATTAAATCGCTGACACAACTGAATTCATGACGTCACCTAGTTTGAGAATATCTGCGTTTATACGATTTAGTGACGTCAGCAGCATGGCCCGTCAGTTGGAGCCGGTCTTGGAGAGACCAGGGCCTTCAGTTTCGTTGGCGATTGTCTAAGAGAGCAGCTTCAAAAAGCGGACGGACTGAGTATTTTTTCTTCTGACCCGACAGGTTCCGCAGCATGCTTTGATTAAAGCATGATTCCTATCCTCTCAGAGTAAACAAGGCGGTCCAAATGCCGGGTCATGTAGTAGTAGTACATTTTACCCAACTAGGACATCACACAAGCGATAAACACCCGATGATACAAAGTGCCACCATATGGATGAAGATCACCCGTGGAGAGGTCCCGGAAATCGCGTTCAGCCATTAGACCATATTTATGGCCGGGCTATAAAGCGGCCCCAGGCAAGAGCCACAGTGGGGATTCAAATAAAAAAAAAAAAAAACGAAAAATTGTATCTCACAAAGAGACGACTGGTTATATAAATGGGTCATGTTGCATGGGCCACAAATGTTAGCTACAATATTTTCTGGGCCCTATGCTTTAAATTCGATGAACCTGTCGCCTTTCTACTGTACAATATAATGCTATTGCCTGGAAAGACGGAAAGATGACAGCAAGAAACAAAACATACAAAACTATGCAGTCGCTGTGGCACAGAGATAAGACGCTCGCCTCAGGCTGCGGAGATCATGAGTTCGATTCCCATCTTAGACTTTTCTCAGGAGGGTTCTCTTTGGCGAATTAGTCAAGCTGTTTGCCTCGCGCTCGGAGGGTCATGGGTTCGTTTCACCGCTGTGTAGTTTAGTTCACGACTGAAATTTTTGCGGAGATCCCTGGGGAACGAATCCGAAGCCACGGAGTCCGTTCTTTGTGCGACGCTCTCGGCAGGCTGCTGGTCATTATGCGAAGACAGGCCGAGCCGTATGAGATAAAACCCGGTGCAATGAAGTCGTTCATCTCGACTGTAAAATTCAATTTTTAAAAACATATTTGATTAGGTTAAAAAAAAAACATTGTAAGAAGCTTATATCTATTTTTCAGCCATAGTGCAAAATTATAAAATCGCCTATCAGTTACAGTATACTACTAACGCTTGCCAAAATAACATGTTTATCAGCCTGCGTCTGCATAACCCTGAAAACAACAAGATGGTAGATCAAATACAGTTGCCGAAGCTGAAACAGACGTCACTGGCGTCTGCCGCTGCGCATGTCCACAGAATCGACATGGCTCAAACCAACTAAAAAGGCGCTTTCTTACAGTAACATGACATCTTACCGGCTACGACTATCGAGTTGAGACATGACGTCATCAAGAACAAAATGGCAATGGGCTTCATTGATCTGCTTGTTGGAGATTGGCTTTGGTGAATCTTTAAATCTGCAAAATAAATAAATAATTAAATAAATAGCACATACATCTGCTTAGGATATTAAAATGCACATTTACAGCTGAAACAGTTGTCAAAACACGAGGATGTAACTGTTAAAGTTGTAGATATCTCCTTAGCACTTTTAAATATACTTACATAGTTTGCTGTCATGTTCTGTCATAATGACGCAGAATGACAATATTTAAGAAGAATTGTATTTCTTTTCTCTACTTCTGGAATGCCTCTCCGCGTCAGAATGGGAACCCTTCTGTTCGCTTCGTAAAGAGTACTTTTGAGCGTCTCTGATATTTTAGTGGTCCAAATTTTGCGTTATCAACCTCTGGGTCTGTTACCATTGTATCTGCATAACACTGCTTTCTGTGGTGCCCTGACTGATGCCAATCTTGTTAAATGGCCAAAACATTTGACCTGCTGTCTAGCTATACAGTTCAGTATTGGTTCTCTCCTCCTGATATCATCGTTCCTAAGTCGATCTTTCCTCGTTACATCCGGCATTGTACGTAAACATTTCATTTCTGTTAAGACTGTTTTCCTTCTGTCTTTTGAAGACAGTGTGCATGTTTGACGCTGATAGCATCACGTTGGTGAGAATAATGTGTTAAACAGTGTTCTTTTAGTGTCCATATCCACATTATCACAGAAAAACTGTTTCGGCTTTAAATTTAATAAAAAATGTACTAAGCACTAATATTTTCTCCATCGTTTATTGTCCACTTCAAGATCACTTTCACCGCCTGTCAAGAACACCCCCTAAGTGCTCAGATCTTCTCCTAAAACGTTTCTGATTGTGCTTACACTGACGACTCTTGTTCTTCTACTGGCTGATATAGCGATTATGAGCTTCCACTGGTTGATATAGCGACTATGAGCTTCCACTGGTTGATATAGCGACTATGAGCTTCCACTGGTTGATATAGCGACTATGAGCTTCCACTGGTTGATATAGCGATTATGAGCTTCCACTGGTTGATATAGCGACTGTGAGCTTCCACTGGTTGATATAGCGACTATGAGCTTCCACTGGTTGATATAGCGACTGTGAGCTTCCACTGCTTGATATAGCGACTACGAGCTTCCACTGGTTGATATAGCGACTGTGAGCTTCCACTAGTCGATATAGCGACTATGAGCTTCCACTGGTCGATATAGCGATTTTGAGCTTCCAATGGTTGATATAGCGACTATGAGCTTCCAATGGTTGATATAGCGACTATGAGCTTCCACTGGTTGATATAGCGACTATGAGCTTCCACTGCTTGATATAGCGACTATGAGCTTCCACTGGCTGATATAGCGACTATGAACTTCCACTGGTCGATATAGCGACTATGAGCTTTCACATGGTTTTGACACAGCTCTGCTCCAGCTGGTGTATCCAGCCTTCGCATGCAAGTCAGAGACAAATGATTATCCTCGTGTTTGATGTGTTCAGCCCGTGTTGTCATAAAATGTTAAGTATATCCATCATGTTATAGTGTGGCATTGCCTGCAATGGCGTATGATCTGTCCTTGCCTTTTATAACTGGCATGTCCCTGGACAATAAGAATGTGATCGAACGAAGCAATAGTCTCAGCACACAATGATACCACTTCACTGGCAATGCTAACTACATTTAAATAAGACATTTGCTTTTGTTTCTTGTGCAGTCAAAATGTCGGTTTGTTGTTGCCGGTCAATAGCATCCGGAAGCGGACAGTGAGCGATTAAAACTCTGTGACACAGAATGCCACCATTTTGATGAGAAGCTTTTTTTTTTTTTTAACCATTAGGTTATATTAGGGTCACCCGATCATCTTTACGATAAAAAAAAAAAAAATGCATAACATAATCGTAAGAAGTGAAAAAAAAAATTGTATTAAAGATTTACTTGGTAGTACATTAGAGCATCACACAAGCGATAAACACTCGAAGACACAAAGTGCCGCCATGTGGATGAGGATCACCCGTGGAGAGGTCCCAGAAACCGCGTTCAGCCATTAGACCATATTTATGACCGGGCTATATTGCGGCCCCTGGCTAGAACTAAGGTGGAGTTTCAGTCTAACGAAAAATTACACCCCACAAGGGGATGACTAAAAATTTGGAGGTCCTGTATTAAAAAAGCTCATATAAATTTTTTGTATTCCTTATTACTATAGTAACTGGATGGTGGGCGCTGGAGTAAACGCTCTTCGAACAAAATAATCATGAACAAAACTTGTTATGTTACCCGTCGTCAGGATATGAGAAACCATTTTTTTTTGGTTATTTTAAAGCCCGAACCCGGCTGCAGTCGGGGGGCCCTAATATTACCTAACGGTTGAACGGGGTTTCTGGGACTTAACCCTGGGGGATCCTAATCCGTATGGTGGCATTTTGTGTCACCGGGTGTTTATCGCTTGGTCGATGTCCAATTGGGTTTAAATCTCATTTCCATTACTAAAAAAATATTTTTAGGAAAAAATTAAAAAAAAAACTTCACTTCTGTCTCGAATTCTCTCCGCCTTATGTCTATATTTGTGCTGGGTTGCGTTCTAGTTATATTATTTTAAGGAGCCGTCAGTGGATTTTCCTGTTGTGTGCCAGCGTCATTTATATTGTTATCCCCCTTAGTTCTACATTGGTAAAACTACAAAACTTGTTAGTGCGTTGCAATCTCCTTTACCTACTTGACTTTTACAAATCTTGTACAGATCAATTAGCACTTTCCTGTATAATGTGGTCAATGCTCCCGGACATTTATTTGGAGAGCTGGGGAGGGGGGGGGGGGGTGGGGGGGGGGGGTTTCCTCAGTTTGGGCTGGGCTGACCGGGGAGTTAGGGTAATAAAAAGATACACTTCAGTGGGAATCTGAATTTATTACCACCAGGTGGAAAAGCGATTATACTGACCACTGTACTGACCAGTCACATCTTAGAAAAAGGGAAATGTCAGTTTCATAAAACCCATCTCGAGGTGAGCTAGCTTATGCAGTGAGAGACACTTCTTTACTACTGACCGCATAGAGGGCGCCATAATTTAAACGTTGCGCCCATGAGAAGATATTAGAAGTTATATTTGGGAACCCAGCAACGATCAGATTGGGGACTTCATATCGTTAGCATCATCCACCAAGTGCCGATTTGTCTATAAAATATAGGTCTAGCCCTATATGCCCCAAATGTCAGTAGGCGTGGAAAAGGGGTGCTTTACTTATCCCTAACAGAGGAGAAGATGGATGTTGGCGATATTGGACCAAAAAAGCAATCCATCTTGACAAGTGCTGGTTTTTTTTTTAATTTTTTTTTTAAATTTTTATATACGGAATTTAAAGACGAACGCAACCGTAGCAACATATTTTTGATTTCTCGGAGAATATATCTCTGTCATTAAAGGTAAGAAAAACAATTCTTGCTTGCTTCATACATCCAGTTTTAACCTATGGCTGTGAGTCCTTGACAATCGATAGGCAGGCCAAACAATTTCTTGAGGCCTCAGAGATGTGTTTTTACAGAAGAATGCTTAAAATACTTTGGGCAGCCAAAAAGAGCAGCCACGAGGTTTTGAAATAGGCGGGAGCCCGAAGACAACTTATCACAGGCATCAGAAGGAGACAGCCATCGTTTTTCGGCCATGTTATGAGAAGATGGAAAATGGAACCTGTTGTTACCACTGGAAAGATCTGTGGAAGGAGGGATAGAGGAAGACAACCAGAGAAGATGCTTGACAGTCTTGTTGCATGGCATGGAGGAGTGTTGGCACACGAACTGATACATGCTGCATGAGATCGCGGATTGTGGAGAAACATGATCGCCCATGCCAGTCGGCAAGGCACCTGATGATGATGATGATGATTTCCCAGTCAGCTAAGGCGTTGCGAACACACTTTGTTATACCGGGGTGCCTAGTTCGATCCTAGCTGCAAGCGATTTGGCAGCAGTCCTTCTTGCATTGGTTTCGACAGTGGTATTAAGAGCCAAAGGTTTAGTAGCAATGGAAATCTGATGATCGTAAACATTTGCCCTGATAAACTACAACAGCCAAAAAAAATATGCTGGGGTTGGTTCTGCAACGTCTTGTAAAATATGGCAACTAGGTTTGAACATTTTTAAGCGCAAATATAAAAAAAAAAAAAAAAATACGGTGTAAGTTCTTTATGCGCCAAAGAATGTATCGTACGTTTAATAATTTACACACTTGTCTCGCGTGATTAAACTTGTGTTTTGTCAGCGCACAGTAAAGAAATCAGACAAAATATACATTTTTGAAATGTTTGATTTGGCCTGGATTAAAAAAAAAAATAAAACGGTCTATGATTGTGTTGGCTTGACCTCCCCAGCTGGGCAGCTGATGTAATCTTAGGGGACGGAAACAAGTAAAACATGGAACTGTTGTCGTTTGGCCGAGGTAGACTGCAGGTCTATCACCTTTCAAACGGCGACACAGGTCAGCAACCTCTCCATTATTATTATGTTTACACAGTGTCAGGTACAAGGTATAACAATGTCGCAGCTGAACAATTTGATGGGGTTGACGATACAATAATGCAGACATGGCCATGAATGATCTGATTGTACTCACTGACTGGGATGCCATTACAAAACCTGATGGGTAGGATTAGTAGATGGCAGCTGAGGGCGACAGAAACCAACGATGGTGAAAGAGAATATCACCCTTTATTTGCACTGATTCTGATATTAAAAACCCCGACAAACCATGACACGATGTTTTGACATGTTAGGTGCAAAAATACATTGACTCTGCTCTGGCACTCACACCGTTCCAGTTCATTATACGAAAGATTAGCGCTCAGACTATTCATTGTATATTGTATCGATACCCGACACGCAATAGGTTTTAAGGCAATTATAAAATGTGAGATTGGTAACATATTTTTGTAAAAATTCTTCTTCTTCGACGTTTCACTGGGTCATAGAGTATATTTAGATGAATCATTTTCTTTAGGTTGATGTCGCATGATTTAAGT